CAGCAAACACCGGGACATTGTCACAGTGAGCGAGGAGGATCACGAGGGACAAGAGGATCTGCCAGGGGGTTAGGAAATTACATTGCAATGCGCATGCAGGAAGTTGTATTCAAACAAGGGTTGGAGATCCCTACATGCAAACGACATCATTGATCAAACAAGATTCCCGTGCGCCGTTGGCAATTGAAGTTTGAACCACCCCAACCTTCGGAGCGCCCAGTGAATGCAGCCGCTTCACCACAAGGTCCAGTTTGCGTTGGGTGTCTCCACACCCAACAGCCATGTTCAGATGCACGGATGTATGGCCCAACTAAATTGAAAGGCCCTGAGCCACAAAAAAACTACTTCAATCTTGATGACCCAAGTCTCTTCGTGAGTTGAAAAGGCGACCCAGCACTCAACTTGATATTCCAACATGATGCTGTTTTCTCCGTGGAAACAAGTCTGGAAGACCTGGAGGGTGATCATTAGGCAGCAGCCTCCGTCTCCAGCCTTGCCCACGCACCATCACGCCACAGGACCTCAGAGCCAAGTGTGAGGGCTCCAAGCGGGCGGCCAGCGACATGGGCAAGATGGGACATCCTGGGTTCCTTTCCGGGGTAAGATTGCACTTTCATGCACATGATGAACTAGCTAGCTGAGTGAGCACTTGGCACACATTCACCCTTTTCCTGACTGGTCAGGTGGTCAAGGGACAACTGACGGGGTGGCATTTGGAAGCTCGATCTCTTCAGTATACAGACCAACAACCCATGGAACTATAGCTGTCATCCCAACCATGCAGGATTGGATATGATTAGTTAGCTGCAGTAAAATATGCAAGGCTAGTGAGATAGGAAAGCAAGGGGCATCCTGTAGTCATCCAAAGTAGAACTACCAACCAAGCTTCCATGAACCACTCTAGCCGGCAGAGGCCACAAGGTCACTAACACCTGATCGGACTTTGGCCCACCATCCAAGATGCATATGGATGGTATAAACCCCCAGAATTAGAATTAGTTGCAATCACTCCGTTGAGTAACTGCTTTGGAACCGGTCTCCAATGGCACCTCACATGCCTCAAAAGCACTTCCTTCCCAGGGGTAGATTCCTTTCATGAACCGTTAAATATAGGTCTTCAAGAGCACTAGATCCAAAAGCAGTTGCAGTTGTTCAGAACAAAATCCAGTCGACAAATGGTGCTTGCATGTGGGTAGAGGCCACTGGTCGACTGCAAGAAGTGTTCATAGCTAAGGCTTCGTACATACTGCGGAAAAAAAGCTGATCTTCAGCTGTAGCTGCCAATCAGAGTGCCAATCAGTTCAAAGGCTTTAGTCCATTGTTGCTCATGTAGGTCCTCGCTGACTTAAAAGCCTCCTCGGCAATGTTGTCCGCAGTGATGGCCTTGTCAGCCCATTCATCAGTGCAATGCCCCCAAAACTTGTCCTGGAATAGAAATCAAACAAAAACCTCGCGAATCGAAGAGCCTGGAAGCTACTTCATGAAAAGGTGCGCCTGAAATTAAACCATGCAAGTCTTCTACACTTAAACTCATGCCAGTATCAGGTACTGCGAAATGATAATGTTGACTTGGCGCAATGAACATGAATCACCTGTCCTCATGGACTGAAGCGGTAGCCAAGCCAGGTCGGATGTGCTGGTTGAAAACCTTCTGAACTGCATCCCACTTCAAAGCTCCTGCTTCGGTCTTTGGCCGCCTACGACGAGCAAAGGTCTTGAGGTAGTTCACGTCAGGGTCTTTGTTCTCCGGCACCTTGGAACCAGCAGGCAGTGCCGGGGCCCCTTCAGCAGCCAGCACCTTCTGCTTCTTCGCCGCAGGTTCTTTGGCTTTGGCCTTGGCATTCCCTCGCGGCTTCCGCTTGGCAACAGCACAAGATGCTGCCGAAGGCTCTGCAGGTTCCATGCCCTTGGTCTTGGACCTCTTGCTGAGTGCTGGCTTTGGAGGCTTGCCATCGTTCTTGTCAGTCTTCTCAGTATTGTCATCCTCCTCATTGACGCATCCCTCAACAACCATGTTGGATTCCTCCGGGTTTGCCTCCGGTGCTCCATACTCCTCTGGATGTGCTGCATTTGCGGGCTTCTGTGACTTTCTTGGGGCAGACTTAGGCTTAGAAGAGGCCGCCTTCCTCCCTCGCCCACGTCCTTTGCCCTTTCCTCGCCCACGGCCACCCTTGCCATCCTCAGCCTCCTCGCCCACGTCCCTTTTCAAGCCAAGTTGGTTCCGACGTGTGACCTTGCAAAGCCAGGCGTGCACAAGTTACAGAAAAATGCAGCCATGCAGCAGGACTGGTTTGCGCAGACCCATCGTGAACCGTTTAGACCCATCATGAACCGTTTTTGGAGGGTCAAAAGTCCTTCAGCATCTTTCAGATTTAAAGTGCTATGTTTCTTGACTTGAAGCATCTTGGAAACAATATTATTGATGCCAGGCGGCAGCAGGCTCTGAGCACTCCTGTAGAAGTTCGAGGCTGTCCACAGCAGTGTTGAATCTGTCCATGAGGTTCTGAACTGCGCCCTCATCCATCTCGAGTGTGTCACCGGTATCTTTCCCATATGGAAGCGAGTCATCCACTTGGACTACCTCATTGGTGACAAACGCAGCTTCCCTCTTGCTCCTCAAAGCCAATTGCTTGGCCCGCATGTTCTTCAACTCCTTCTCCAACGCAGCAATCTTCCCAGACACCCCAGGGCTGGAAGCAGGATCAAGAGGAAGCTTGTTGTCATCCACAATGCTTTGCTCCAGCATCTGGCTGTCAGGAAACTCCATGGGTTGGAAGACCTGCGACTTGAGCCTGGCAAGAGCCAGCAAGTCTTCGCTGCCACAGCCGCGGTCTTGGTCCATGCTCAGAGTGGAGGGTTCAGCCAATGGAACCTCCGTTGGAGCAGCGCCAGTCGCAACAAGAAGAATAAAGTCGTCTACACGCTCTTCAGTCTCAGCTGGTGCCCCAACTGGGTCTTGTACATGGTTCTCAGCTGGTGCCCCAATAGGGTCTTCTACCTGCTTCTCAGCTGGTGCCTCAACGTTGTCTTTTACCTGGTTTTCTCCCTCAGGTGGTTCACCGCCTGTTGGCGGCTCTTCGTCACTGATCTCCATGGGTGCAGGATCAGAAGGAAATCGGTCCTGGCAAAGCTGACACGGCAGCTGGGCGCAAGTATTGACCATCTGCCTTCAAGATGTAAACTAAGGAACTTGGGAATCTGCGCCAAGAACAGTTTTGCTTCAACAAAGAAACAAAAATGCAAAGATCTCTCAGTTGGTTGCATGCACTTGAAAAGATCTTTTTTACTACTCATTGTCCTCATCACCACCATCCCCCTCGTCATGAACCGTGTCATGGCCATGATCCACTTCATGATCATCACCTCCATCATGACCATCGCCCCCATCATGACCATGAGCATCAACATCATCGCCGCCACTCAAAGCAGCAGCCATCAAGCGAGCAAAGTTCCGGTTCTTGGGCCACTGCGACCGTGCGAGCTTCTTCTTGACCAGAACGCAGCAGCCCTTGATGAACCATGCTTCCAAATTCACCTGCTTGGGGACCAGTGGCACTGAAGCCAAGTCAGTGAGTTGTTTCAACCTGACAGTGGATGCGAGGCGATGCAACAAGGTCGATAGAGGGCCACCAAAATAATCAAAAGTCCAAACAGTTCCAAACATTTTGTATCTCACCCTTCTATTTTTTGGAAGTAAATTGTGGAAAAACGCTTGAAGCTTGAGTCAAGAGTTTGTTTTAAAGGGACTGCACTAGTTAAAGTTGGGCAACTCTGCTTCAACGTTGGGAATGCTCACCATGCCAAGCTGGGAAGTAGTTGGGTCCCGAAGTCGTTTCATCACAGGCAGCAAGGCTTCCAGGTTCACCCCAGCAGCACAAATTGTTGGCTCTACTGCGGACTTCCCAGCTTCAGGGACAAAGATAGAACCAGTCTTTCGAAGAAGCTGCCTTAGCTCTTTGTTCCCCTCCCACTCGGATGCGCAGCCACCAATCTCGACTGTGTTCTTGCTCTCCGCCATGTTGCAGCAAAGAAAAACAAACCGGTGGCAAACGTTGAGGCACTTGACCAGTGGCTGCGATTGGTCGACATCTTATTTTACAGTGGCTGACTCAGCTGCAGCTCTTTGTGAACCAACACATGGAGAAACCTTTCCTTTCCCATCCAAACATGAAAGGGTTGAAAAGTCATGAAAGCTAATGAAAAAGTCATTCAATTTCAGACTCTTGTCAGCAACCTGCCCTGATCCAACCCTTGGCGGGCCAAGGTCCAGACCAGTGATGGTCATTCAGCTCGACGATGGAAAAAGCGATGCCAGCAGTGGGATGGCAATGGACGGCGGGACTTTGGAACTTGGGGCAGGTCTGAAGTGTGTGACTGTTGGTCATGGCATCTTCGAAGGTTTTAGTCCAAGACTTGCAAAAATCTTGAAGAAGGTGTTGGTAAGGGTTGCCAAGATCTTGAAATGGACAGTGATGAACCCACCGGCTGCAACACCATGCTGAAAACACGCCCTTTTGAGAAAACACGCCCCTGGCAAAAATAGGAGTTCTTTTCAGATCAAAGATAGTCTTTCCAGACAGGGATGCAGAAACAGAGTCCTGGAATGTTCCAGGGTTATATACTATAGTCGTTGACCCTGCGAGAATCTGCTAAACAAAGTACTTCTTTGAGCATTGGACCATCTGTTTCTTCGCACCTCAAATCCTCCTGCTACACCTGTCATTGCCGAATTCCGACGGACTTCCGACGTCACTCATCCCTTCGATCACGGTCGACGACTCGACAAGTTCGTTCCCAGGTTTGGGACTCCGGACGACACGGTGCGGACGACACGGTCCGGACGAACGACACGGTCCGACCTGGGTCCAGTGCGCGGAGCGTCACAGGTCGTATAACATTAACCACTCTGGATGCAACGTCTGAGCATAGGGCATCGAAAAAGCAATACCACGAACTCTACCACGAACTCTCAACTAAGAACTGTCCCGATTGTCCCCGGCCTCCAGGAGTTGTCCTCATAGTAGCCGTGGTGCAAATGATCGCCCCAAATCTCCACCCAAACGCCTCGCTACATCGGACCCGCTGGGTTCCGGAACGGGCAAGGGCAGGTCAGGTCCGCATACTATATATAGGAACACAGGGAGAATATCACTTTTTCTTTTGACCCAAAAAGCGATTCAGCTGGGGGAAGATGGGCAAAGAAAACACATGTAACAGACCAGTCTTGAAACTGTTTCGCGTACATGGGGCATTTGGTTCTGGGAAGACTTGCCATCAAGCCCTCAACGGAGTTGAACAACCACTCTTGTTTCACCAGGGCGTCAGGATCATCGCTGAGCACATTCCATGCAATCTGCAGGTCCAATCCTACTCATCCGCTCTGCTCACTCATCCACAAACCACCGCACCAACCACCGTAATTATTCCACACCCCTTTCACAACCATTCCCTGCTCTCATCCACCATCGCCTTGCCTGTAGACGCGTCGTAGAAGTCTGCGATGCCCTCCTGCAGCGAGCGCTTCCGCCGTGCTTTTCGCACCGAAAACGCAGCGGCCGCAGCCACGAGCGCGGCAGCCGTGGGTGCTAGGAGGGAGGCGCTTGCAGGACGCGGCGTAGTGGTGGTAGCCTGCAAGGTCAGGCAAAAACGTCAAAGACAGGGATTCGACGAATTCCAATCCGGTGCACTTCCCGTGATGAAACTAGGCACTGAGAAACGTGATGACAACTCTCTCTCCCCACAACTCTTAAAGACGCTGCTAAGGTCATCATTGGTGCAGCATGGCCATGCCGCAGACTTGACACGTCTCTGGATATGTCTGGATTGTTGATCTTCTTCAACTTGGCCTTGGCTTCGTGCACGTCTTCCCATGGACCGACCACCGAGTATCATGAGTAAATGAGCCGACCATCGAACGAAGACCAGGGCGCCTTGCTCCGTCGCAGCGGAGACGGCCGTGCTGGGCCGACAAAGGCCGTGGCCGCGGTACTCGCCGTCGCTGTCGGAGCGGAGCTGGCGCAGTTGTACTCGCCGCCGAACTCCTGGAGAAGAAGGCCCAAGGCTCCAGATCACTTACCGTAAGTGGGGTGATCTAAATTTATAAGGAAGACATATGCGGCCTGGTGGTTGCACCACCGTTGCCTTGGATCAACAGGAAAGGAGTGAGTCTGGAGTCTCTTTGAGTTCGCTTTTGGTTTGGTGTGGTGGTAACCAAGTCCATCCAATGAGCTGGCTTGCCCTGCAAAATACGATGAGACCAAGTCCATGGGACACTTGGCTTGGCACAATCTCCAAAACTTAGTGTCAGAATGGCAAGCACCGGCCACAAAGCCATGGCATTGCCTTCAAGACCTTACACCTTTTTAGATCCTTTTTGGAACAGACTTCCTGAGAGCCCCCGCGCGGTGTTTCAACCACCGCGCCGTTTGAACCCAACAAAAACACCAAAAGAACACCGTGCTCCACCTGCTCTTTTCCCTGCTCCGACCGAATCCGGCACCTTCGACCCGACCCCGATCCATCAGACTTGTCGTTCGACGCCCCATTCCGCTCCAAGGCAGCTTGCCGGAAGATCGCGTACTCGATGGGTCGCAGGCCCTTCCTCCGGTCCTATGGAGCGGCCAAGCACGGGATGGGCGGCTTTTGTGAAGGAACGAAGCCGGAAAGGTAGATGAAGCGGATCTGGTTTATCTGGTTTTGGATTTAGTACTCCTTTTGTTTTCCAAGCTCACGCGTTTCCTTCTGGACGAAGTGACTGTCAGTATTTCACCCGTCAAGTCTGAAGAGACGGTCTCAGTACCCTCGATCCTGAGATTTCGCATCTAGAAGTTAGGACCCTTCTGAACTGATCTTATCCTCAACTGGAGAGGATGGATCTGATTGCACTGCCCTCTTGGGGGCACTGTGGTGAGCAGTCCCCCAGCAACACCTGCCCCAAGGAGCTTGGAATGACCAACAACTGGATGCTGAAAAACCAGGAGAGATTCAGGCTAGCATCCCCAAGTCAACAGGATGGACATGCATGCCGACGACGACAGGTGTGAAGCAATATGAAGCATTAATGGATCCAAACTTCATCTTGACTCGATCCTTTTCACCTCGCCCGACTCGGGGAGACCCCGCCCCACAACCACACGATGGACTCGGCACCGCCATGACAGCCGTCCGCCGCCCCACCATCCCAGCTAACCCACAGCCACCAACGAGAGTGCCCAGTAAAAGGCTCGCTCCGAGCTGCATAGAGCCTCACCACCGCCAAGGCAGTGTGGCTCTCTGAACTGCCTCAGAGTGGGTTGAATGCAATGGATCTGATCTGATTCACAGCAGAAGCTGGTAGTTCCTGCGAACCCCCGCTGGTTGGTATGAGGAGTTCATGATCTTCCCTTCGGGCCATGCCATCCACGTAACCATGTTGGTTCCAGGTTCCAGGGAGTGTAACCATGTGTAACCCATCTCAGGTGGTTCGAGTCATTTCACCCCAAAAGAGACACATAAAACTGTTTTCTCCACTAAACAGGATGTTGTACTTGACTTCAAACACCACCCACCAGCGACTGCATGATCTGCCACTCCTACCTGGAACTTCAAGACCCAAGGGCAGATCGATCTACGGTGCCAGTTATTAAGCTATCTGGTTCCAATCGTTCGGACTCTGCTTCCAATCGTTTGGACCTGGTTCCAATCGTTCGGACTCTGCTCTTTTTGAGACGGCACTTCCCAACAAAGAACCAGCCCTGGACCTGCCCTGCGCCTGGTTCTCGGCTGAAGCCATCCGTGGTTGGCACGTAAATCTGCTCGGAAAAGCCTCGGCGAAGAAAGCACGGGACGCAGCATTCGGGCATATGGGGGCGAAGAAGGAAGAACCTCTTCGCCCATGAAACACAATACCAGCTTTCCAGCAGCTAAATAGAAACCAGCTATATATCGTATATATATATATATATTATATAACTGTAACCAAGATCCCACAGAATGTCTCACCAGCTACAAATGCAATCCCTGCGCCTCCTCAAGCAGCCACTAAGGTCCCCGGAGCACCCCCCACCGCTCCCCACCGAGGCGCTCTCCGCTGGTGCAGAGACCCGGAGCTCGAGGCGCCGGTGGCCACTGAGCGCGGTGAGCAGCAGGGTACCATTGCAACCATCGACCTCGCTGGCACCGAAGATCCCACTGAAACAGGTCGTGGAGATGGCGACCCGGGTGAAGCGCGGAGAAGCCGGCAAGGCACGGAGAGGTGGGGCCAGGTGTGTGGTGGTTGTTCCGGCGAAAAGGCGTTCTGTTCAGCCTTGTTCGAGGTGGGTTTCGCGAGAGAAGGTCGGGTTTTAAGGTTAGGAGCTGGGTCAGCTGGGTTGGGGTGCAGTAGCAAGTAGCTGGATGGTGTGGGGGCTGATGGCTGAGCTGACGGGTGAATGTATAAGAATGGTTCCCGTATTTTCAAACAATGACCAAGGTCACCAATTTCCAAGAGGGATGATCTGTAAAAACCAGTCGAAGACCAAACTACCTGAGCCATCCAAAAGGCCCTGTACCGTATACCGTTTTCCCTTCTAATGTCTTCCAACTTCCAAGTGAAAAACCCATGCCCCCATGCCACAGGGTAGGCCACATGTGCTGTGGCGGCTGGCCCTGTTCTTCTCCCCCATTCCTCCTTGGCTTCACCCTCTTCAACGGCGGAACAAGACCCCCGGTCGCCGGTCGCGGCGCCTCCGATCGGAAGCGGTGCAGGTCGATGCTTCGAAAGTCCCACGACCGCTCCTGGCGGGGCCGAGGTCGCGGCGAGGTACTGAGATGAACCGTGGGTTTATAAAGGTTAGTAGGCCGTAGAAGTGCATTTATAACATACTTATATATATAAAAACTCACGGTCGATTCTTTTCACAACGCTCCGCAGTTAATCACAAATAGAAATGGGAAAATACTGCAAAGAACAGCTCGGTCTTTCTCCAGACCTACCCACCATGGGTTTGAC